GATCCTTTGAATTTTCCAGAGTTTTAAATATTATTTTGGCAAAAAAATGGGCTGTGGTTCTGAGCTTAATCAGTGTTTTATTTACTATCATTACAGTCATTCATTTTCTCTTATCATTTTCTCCTTTGGAGTCTTCCATTGATTACCTTATATGTGTAGACCTTTCTCATTTCAGAACCAAGCATAATGGATTTATCCCCTTCTTTATGTTACCTATGACATAACAGAAAGAATAATGTATTCTTTCTCCAGCTTGATTCGAGCACACTAACGCTCACAAATTAACTCTCTTTTATAAGTCACCATTTCCTTTCTTTTAGGTCTCAGCTCTTGTACTCAGAGCATTAGATTCTAATTAAACTCTTCTCTTAAAACACAGTAGATGTGCTTTTCTTAAATACAGATATGAGACTTTTAAATAAAAAATCTATAGCTTCCAAACTAAAGGTCAAATGTTTTAATTATGTTCCCTCATTTTTTTTTCTTTTTTCCTTAAAAAAATATGAAGACTTATGTAAGATGTAATAGGGGAAACTGGATGTGGGGTTTATGGGAACTCTTTCTACTATCTTTGCAATAATTCAGTACATCTAAAAACTGTTCTAGAAGAAAAGGTTTATTGAAAAATATATGAAGGACATTTTCTTTTTCATTCATATGAATTTTAGAGACATTCAAGTGCTGTATTTCTCACAAATAATGAAAAATCTGACAAATGTCAATGTTACTTATCTGCTCTCTTGATAAACTGAGTCAATAATAAAGCTTTGGCTCAGTTTGAGAACATTATTCCCAAGATCCTTGTATAATATTGTACAGAAATTAACTGATGTAGATCTCCCATCCCCACATGACATCACACTCCTTTGTTCCTCTCAAATCTTTTGTGGCTATAGCAACAAGGATAAGAATGCTTATTGCCTTAGAAGTCTGCCGTGAGTTTATAGTCTCGAAGAATCAGCAAGTCTAGTACTTGATTGTGGAAACAATATTGACCAAATCTTGCTGAATTTTATCAGGGATTCATAACGGCTCTAATTCTCCCTAAAGTTCTTGATAGTATCTGCTTTGATCTAAAAAAATGACCAGCTTGCTATGACACATTTGAATATGAAAGTTACCTCTTCTGAAGGTAACTATTTTGTATTTTCCCTTCTCAGCTTTTCCTTTGGAATCATTTTATAGCCTCACCATCTTACCTTTTGTTTCCAGGGCTCTACTTGATGGGACAGATGATATCCCTGGAACATAGTTTTAGATTTGGAGTTTGGTGACTGCTTTATCAAGGCTTATATAAATTGAGAACTGGCTACTGTGCCCCTCACTATATAGGATAAAAAATTCTGTTTTTAGAGGGACCCATCTTCTCTCTTCCCTTGCAGACAAAACAGCTTGGAAAACTAAACAGACTAAAGAGTCTATGTCAAAACATATTGTAATATGAAGAACTAAGATGCCTGGGAATATTCAGCAATAGCCTGTATAAATTAGAGCAGAATTGAAACTTTAGAATGGAAAAAAGGAGTTCTCGTATTAGCTAACCATTTGCTATCTATGGCAAAGTATGCAGTTATAAAAATGGATTTCTAGATTAAAAATTGACATAATACATTTTCAAGATAGCCAGTATAGAACATGCTCTATATCCAGTTGTGAAAATTGCTGGTAGCTATCATCAAGGATGGTTAGAAAAAAAGTTCCATACTGGATATTTTGTAATTGTTGAACTCAGATATCTCTTTACTCAGTGGATTTTGTTTTATAATGAAAAAGTAGATTTGTTCGTAACATCTAGAACTCTGGAGATAGAATTCTAGAAAAATTATAGTTTTAAGTTATTTTGAGTTTCATCATGGAAGGTAAGCTCAGAATGCTGAAGTACTGCTGGAATAAATGAACCGTTTTACTTCTTTCATAAAAATCTCAATGTATGCAACTTTGAGTTCAGAGATAATTATACTTGCATGTTCTGAGTTGTGGAGAAATGAAAGAATTTTTTTAATGTAGCTGCTTCATTTCACATTTGTTTAGTGATATTTCCAAGTAAATGTTCTTCCTTTTCACTGCCATCTTCCTAAATACGTGCATATAGTTTTCAGTGGATTCTTTCTTTGAAATCCAATCCTTAAAGCTGGATTGTTTGCTTAATAAGAAATCTATTGGATCATTCTGGCCTATTATATGATTTTTGATACTTCTCACCTGTAAAGAGAAGTTGCCCTCTCTGTACAGCTTATCTTCACTTTGTTTCTCTTTCTTCCTGACAGAATCCCAAGGACTGCAGCAAAGCCAAGAAGCTGGTGTGTAATATCAACAAAGGCTGTGGCTATGGCTGTCAACTCCATCATGTGGTCTACTGCTTCATGATTGCATATGGCACTCAGCGAACACTCATCTTGGAATCTCAGAATTGGCGCTATGCCACTGGTGGATGGGAGACTGTGTTTAGACCTGTAAGTGAGACGTGCACAGACAGATCTGGCATCTCCACTGGACACTGGTCAGGTAAGGAGCCCATGCAGCGTGTCAGGTCTCTGGGTTGAACCACTGCATGACCAAATTATTAGATTTCTAGGCATGACTTTATGGATCATAGTCATTTTTTCCTTTGGATTCATTATTGCTATACATTATCCAGATAAAATCTGGAAGAACAATATTTTGTTTACAAATGTTTTATGATCTATTTCATTTCTGTTATTCATATCTGGATTTAGAAAAATCACTGAATTTTTTCAAGGAGCATAATTTAATCTTTTCATAATAATGATGATATATCTTTCACTTTTTAGGGTGCTTTTACACTACTGAACTCATTCATCCTTGTAATTATCATATAAAGTAGACCAGTGGTTCTCAAAAGTTAGCATACATGAGTATCACCTGAAATTCTTGTTAAAGCACCAGTTTCTGAGTCAGAAGGTCTGGGGCGGAGCCTGAGAATCTGCATCTCTGACAAAATTTTCAGGTTTAGAAACCATATGTTGAATACCACCATGGTAGACTTTGCTGGTAACTTTATCTCCATTTTATCTCCATTCATTGAAAACAATGAAGCCCAATTTGTTTATGTGATTTTAATTTTATTCAGGAAACATTTGATGAAGAGTAATCTGACTAATGTACTATGCTAGGCATTATAAAGAGAAACATCAGTAAGAAATTGCCCTTCTCTCCAAGGAAGTGGTGACAGAGGGACTAGACTATAGATAGTTTCTTACTGCTAGTCTAGTTCTCTTCTTTCTACAATCTTGATCTTTAAACAAGATCTAAAGTTGGGCTATTTCTTTTTTTAAATCCTGGCTTTATCATTTTGTAATCATGAGCAAGTTACTTAACTTGGGCCTTAGTTTCCTTATTAGTAAAATGAGGAGTAGTGACTTACCCCATTGACTTGTTGGTAGGATTAAATGAAATAATATATGTAATACACTTAGAACAGTACCTGATATATGAGCTCTGGTAACTGTTAGCTACTGTCCATAGCCTTTATTCATTGAGCAAATATATAATGAGTGCCTTCAGTGTGACAGATACTGAATTAAGTGATTAGGATAAATGCCAGGCAAGACAATACATTATCTCTGCATTCACATCTTGTGGGAAGTCAAACATTTTTCAAAAAGCTGAGGCATTTAAGTTAATATCATTTATCTTGGGGCTAAACACCTTTTTCCCACAATTTACAACATTAGATGTGAAATAGGGAGCTTTGTCATTAGCAAAGTGAGTCACTTTAGTTCTTCATTTCTTTTGCCTCCTTTGGAAAAAATTAGGTAATACCTGATTTCACAGAATTGTCATGAAACTTAATTGGATAGTTTCTATAAAATACTTTGGGTTGCTCTGTAAGAGGTCCTGAATGGATTAAAAGTGTAATCTTGTGATATGATTTTTATCTTCCATAGGATGGTTTAGAAGCCTTCTTTTATATATCAACATTTTTTTTTTTAAAGTGAACCTCTCAATCTAGAACCTAGCAGAGCTTTAGTTTTAAGGTTACATCTTCCACTGATCTGGTTTTGTAGTTTTCAGCTAGTGCCAACAGATTAAGTATAAAGGTTAGGAAGATACTAGATTTATCAGTCAGGGAAAGCAATTCTGCCAGGCTCATTATGCCTAACTTTTTTTTATTTCATGGGCTTAGTTCAGTTTAAACTTGTTTGATAGTGCAAATGTATAGACAGAGTAGAACAGATTTCTGTGTTTAACTGGTTCTAGGGAAAGACAACTTTTCGGCTGATAGTTAATAGAAAAGTGAAAAGTTGGCCTCACTAGACTTATCAGATTTAGTTTGGCCCTGCCTATATGCTACAAGTAATTATTTGGTTTGCTTGATTTTTAATCCTTCCTTGTATATTTTATAATCTGTAGTGGCAGCCACAGGATATGAAGATCAAAAATGGCTTGAATTTTGAAAATTCAGTAATTCTTAATGTTATAACTAAACAGGATCTAGAAATCATCCTTCCTATACTCATCTGGAATCAAAGGCTTAGTAAAGGCTAAATGAAATTTCCAGGGTCATAAAGCCTATAAATGCCAGAACTTTGGTTAGCAAATTCACTTCTACCTACCTCCAATCTAAGTCCTTCCCATTAAACTCATGCCAAACACCTTACCTAGCAGTATAATGACTAGAGACACAGAAACTACCTGGAATATCTAAGAACTAAATAAAATAATTTTAATACTTTAGATATTAATCTTGTATCCAAAAGAAGAGACTTACGTTTGAGCTTAGAATATCTTTGTTTTTATGAAAAGTATGGTTGCCATCCATTTCTGTTTCTGTTATATGCATTGCCTATATATGTACCTTTTAGAGAAACTAATGAATGTGTTTCCAAGAACTAGAGGAAACAGAGTGAATTCTAATAAGCTCCTTGACATTAATCCTTTAGTTAGCCATAAATTGACTATGTCTATTATTGTTCTGACTTGTGCAAATAATCCTGAGATATTTCCCTTAGCACCACTCCCATAAAATT